TTATCTCCCAGCCCCTAATTACGCGCTCGTCAACCCCGCGGAATGGCTCTCTCCTCCTTAACCCCCCCCCCCCCGTCGCCTCGCGTCGTGCATGGCACGACGCGAGGTGACCAGAACGCACCCTCGGAAGAGCCGAGCGATAATTACTGCGACCAGAGCCCCCGTCCCACGTAGGGTGAGCGCCCAGGGCCCCACGCTTTGGGGGGGGGGGGAGGTCCGCGCTTTGACGTCGCGGTGTCAGATGTAATATTTCCGTAATATCCATAATAGAGATTTTTTTTGGGTTAGATCGCGTAAATATATAAATGTGTCGTTAAACCCGCCACCACCCGACACGGCCAACTAGTAAGGGTTGCCACGTAAACAGAACGTGGCCAATTCGTTACGAGTACAGCACACCGGTGTGTTGGAGAGCCATGCCACAACATTTACAAGACTAAATTCCTGGCAGCGATTTCAGCCGCATCATCTCTACATAACAAAAAGGCTCAGTCCCTTTTACACGCACCTTTACATCATCCGCACCTAGTTTACACAACATAGGCTCATTCCTAGCAGCGTGCTTCAGCCGCACCGAGCCTCACAAAAATTATATTCAGGGCCTACCTTGGCTCCCCCCACCCTCAACCAGTATATATACAAATACTGTGTTCTTGGAATTTCTCTCACTTGATACAGCCATCGTGCTGTGACGGTTCCACCTGAAGACGGAGGCTTGTGTTGCCTCCGACACGTCGTGATTTTTTTTTTTTAATTAATTACAATTTTTTACCTACGTGACTTTACCGAAAAAAACCTAAGAATATGAATCCTTGCAGTCACGAAAGCTTCAAATCTAGAATTTACAATCTGAGTACGACGTTTCAAGGGGCCGCCGCACGCGGCTAACCCGAGCCACAGATTTGCCCCACCCCTGACCCCGCAGTGTGCGTGTGTCACCCCGCAGTGAGTCGATCCGTGGTCTCGCGTGCGGTGGTGCGGTCGGGTGTGGGTGCTCCAACATCTTCCAAGACAGCTAGCCCGCGTGGAAGAGTAGGCCTCTTACGGTGGGGTGGGGGGGGGGGGAGTCTCTTGAGCTCCCTCCAGTGGAGGTCCTTCCACCAGCAGTGAGGCGTGAGTGAGCGGTTGCAGGGCTGCGCCTACAGCTGTAACGGTGGAATATACAGCGGGGTGGCTCTGAATGAGGGCCGTTGCACCGAAACATCACGTTCTGCTTCACAGTAGAGCACGTGGCGCACGCCTTGTGGTCCAGGTGTTGGTGGATCACACAGAGAGTGGTGACACTAATTCAAAACCTCGCTGGACTGCTCGGCAGGTGGTGGCTAGGATTTGAAATGGTGGGGAGAGTTGGTTCATGAACGCATCCGTGCGGTAAGCGGTCTAATGAACGACGCCGTGCTTTCTCGTAAACCGTGGTGGGCATTCTCCGGGGGCACTCTTTGCTTTCTCGCGAGCGGAGCGACTTTAATATCTTAAAATAAATGTGGGCAACCATCCCGGCATTGGCGTGGCCCTGCCGAGGAACAGGGTCTTGAGACTCGCCGGTATTTTCCTGGACAGATCAATGATGTTACTTCTTCTGGGTTGTTTCGGTAAAGTCACGTAGAAGGGAAGTAATGAAATAATAAAAATAAAACATAATAAAATAATTGTCACGACGTTTCGGCCACAACGCAAGCAGCCGTCCTCAGGTAGAGAACAGGTCTGTCGGAAAGACCATTCAGACGCTGTCTTCCCTACAGACCTGTTCTCCACCTGAGGACGGCTGCTTGCGTTGTGGCCGAAACGTCGTGAGAATTATTTTATTATGTTTTATTTTTTTATTATTTCCATTCTGCCGTGACTTTACCGAAAGAACCAAGAAGATCAATCCCTGCAGTCACGAAAGCTTTAAATCGAAATTATGTTACTGTTGTTAGCACGACTACGATACTCGTGCTATGCGATCATGAGGACGCGTTTGATGGTGACGACACGTAAGGGTTAGGGTGGATATAGAGATTATCCTCTTCTAGTTCACATTTCGAGCGAACAGTGTTCACTCGCTCGGCTATTCTCAGTTGCCCGCCCTGAATCAATAAGTGGATATTCCACATTCCCACCGTGTTCCCGTGGGAATGTGGAACAACTCCGATGTTACTCTCGCCCTCCCACCCCCTTCCATTATCAGCACTCCCCTAGCAAAGGCATCGCTTCCTTTCTCCGTTGTCGGAGCCTAAGTTCGCACCCCGAGCCCGGGCGGTGCGATGTTCGTGTGTGTCTGGATTTTTTTTGTTTAACCCCCCTCCACAACACCCCTTATGACTCGAACTTGCCGCTGTTTAACGTGGAGCCGCTGTGAACGTAACATGACTGACCATAGAACAACAACACCACGTGCTTTTGGATTCCGGTAAAGTCGGGTCAGTGCCGGTGCTATACGTACTCGTGGCTGGTTACCTGTTTGATTAGGTAGGTAGGGGTAGTATTAGGGGCTGGGAATTTGCTGAGCTAGGTAGGTAGGGGTAGTATTAGGGGCTGGGTAGATGGTGGGCTAGGTAGGTAGGGGTAGTATTAGGGGCTGGGTAGAAGCTGGGCTAGGTAGGTAGGGGTAGTATTAGGGGCTGGGTAGCTACTGGGCTAGGTAGGTAGGGGTAGTATTAGGGGCTGGGTAGAAGCTGGGCTAGGTAGGTAGGGGTAGTATTAAGGGCTGGGTAGTTGTGGGCTAGGTAGGTAGGGGTAGTATTAGGGGCTGGGTAGAAGCTGGGCTAGGTAGGTAGGGGTAGTATTAGGGGCTGGGTAGTTGTGGGCTAGGTAGGTAGGGGTAGTATTAGGGGCTGGGTAGAAGCTGGGCTAGGTAGTTAGGGGTAGTATTAGGGGCTGGGTAGTTGCTGGGCTAGGTAGGTAGGGGTAGTATTAGGGACTGGGTAGATGCTGGGCTAGGTAGGTAGGGGTAGTATTAGGGGCTGGGTGGCTGCTGGGCTAGGTAGGTAGGGGTAGTATTAGGGGCTGGGTAGATGCTGGGCTAGGTAGGTAGGGGTAGTATTAGGGGCTGGGTAGTTGTGGGCTAGGTAGGTAGGGGTAGTATTAGGGGCTGGGTAGTTGCTGGGATAGGTAGGTAGGGGTAGTATTAGGGGCTGGGTAGTTGCTGGGCTAGGTAGGTAGGGGTAGTATTAGGGGCTGGGTGGTTGCTGGGCTAGGTAGGTAGGGGTAGTATTAGGGGCTGGGTAGATGCTGGGCTAGGTAGGGGTAGTATTAGGGGCTGGGTGGCTGCTGGGCTAGGTAGGTAGGGGTAGTATTAGGGGCTGGGTAGATGCTGGGCTAGGTAGGTAGGGGTAGTATTAGGGGCTGGGTAGTTGTGGGCTAGGTAGGTAGGGGTAGTATTAGGGGCTAGGTAGTTGCTGGGATAGGTAGGTAGGGGTAGTATTAGGGGCTGGGTAGTTGCTGGGCTAGGTAGGTAGGGGTAGTATTAGGGGCTGGGTGGTTGCTGGGCTAGGTAGGTAGGGGTAGTATTAGGGGCTGGGTAGAAGCTGGGCTAGGTAGGTACGGGTAGTATTAGGGGCTGGGTGGTTGCTGGGATAGGTAGGTAGGGGTAGTATTAGGGGCTGGGTAGTTGCATACGTTGGCGGTTCATTTGCAGCGGCCACCCTGGTTATTACTGCGCGGGTGCGTTAATCACAACAACCACCTCGCCTGGTATGCAGGTGGTCGTGGGTTCGATCCCGACCCTGACGTCTGCTGTATATTTGGAGTTTGCGTCTCTCTCCCCGTGGTCATGTAGATTTTTCTCCGGGTCCCCCCGGTTTTTCCTTTCACAATTAGAATCACTTCTGAAAAAGAGCTAAATAGCTCGGTGGGCCTTACCTGGTAAAGTAAAAAAAATATTTTTTTTAGTTTTAATACTCCGTTGCCGTGTGCTTCACAGTGGACTTTGAATGATCCCGTGACGCCGTTCACAAGAGTCGGCCATTGTGTCCGGTTTTTAGTTCTTCGTCCTTCCACCTCCGATTAGCACGGTTGGCTACGTACGGTGCAAAAGAAGTTCAACTTACATAAGTACATACGTCATGGGCCAATTTGGAAAAAGGCAAATGACTCATTTGGGATGATACACAGCACTCATCGCTACTACCTCACTGCTACAAAAATAAAATCTGCCAAGTTCCTGCTGAAAAGGACCTCTTGAGACTCGGTGAGGCTTTCCTGGCTGAAACAAGCGTAGGAATAATCATGGCTTATGACAATTCCGAGTGAGCCAATACTGTGCGCGATACAAGTTGAGCTTATGATGATGATGATTATTCGTCAGTGTTTGGCTGATTTTCATTCGTGGTATTTTCAACTTCATTGCCATGGTGTTGGTTCGGGGAAATCGCGTGCCGTTATTTACACAGTGGGGATGGCGGCAAGATTATGAATATTTGCAGAAGAGATCTAAAACGCCACCCCAACCCACCCAAACCCACCCACCAAAATTCACCCACCCACCCACCCAAAACCACACAAACTCGCCCTCCCAAACCCATAACAAAAAACTCACCCACCCACCCAACCAATCACACCCACCCACCCAAACTCATGCAAGCCCATCCACCGAAATCCACCCATCCACCCAAACTCAAAAAACCCACCCACCAGCCATGGCCCATCGAAGCCCCCAGTTGCTCCTCTGTATTTATTGCGGCTGCCCATCTCGTGAGCACCACCAGGACTGAACAGGACATCGTCCCGCAACTCCGCATTGCCCACGGTGAGACCAGCTACTGGCGCCGTTTAATCGCGATGCAAGCAAGTTGGCACGGAGAGCGAGCTGCTGTCGTTGGCTAACACAAATACAGCTTTCTGGCAGGTTTCTCGGAATCTAAGTTTGCAAGACCATGATTCTTCACTGAGCTGCACTGGCCGGCGTGGTGAAGTATGGTCAGCAGTGGTTGTGACACAAAGCGATTGACCCAACGGACCGATCGCGTCGGTTTCACGACGTGCGAACACACCCAGACTTTTACACGCCTCTCTTTCAGGGTCCGACCTGCACCAGCGACCGGTGGCCCCGCGCACAACATCCCGAACGGAACGACGACCGGGCGAAGGTGAAGCGTACGACGCACTCGCTTCCCAACTCGTCGGGGGCACCGGGGTCACAGGAGGACCAGCGGCAGGGTCGGACAGCATGCGCCCGCGCCACCACCTCCGCCGCCACCACCGCCGCCACCACGAGGACAACCGCCTCCACCGCAGGGAACCCGAGAGCCCGGCGCTGCCGCCGACCCCGTCGCCGTCGTCGACGGCGTCGGCGGTGGTGACGGCGGCGGGAGAGGGCGCGGCGGAGGCCACGATCTGCGCTCGCTAGCGAGGGTCGGGGGGTGAGGCGGGGGGGGGGGGGGGCGCCAAGCATGCTTGCGCTGCCCCACGACGAGACGGCGGCCGAGACGTTCCACGTGGTGTACATCGCGCTGGAGCTCGTGCTGGCTCTGCTCGCCATCGGCGGCAACGTGCTGGTGTGCTGGGCCGTGCGGCTGAACCGCGCGCTGCGCAACCCCACCAACTATTTCCTGCTGTCGCTGGCGGCCGCCGACATCGCGGTGGGGCTGCTCGCCATCCCGTTCGCCGTCACCATCAGCGCCGGCTTCGCGTGCCACTTCCACGGCTGCCTCTTCCTCGCCTGCTTCGTCCTCGTGCTCACGCAGAGCTCCATCTTCAGCCTCCTCGCCATCGCCATCGACCGCTACATCGCCATCCGCCAGCCGCTGCGGTGAGTGTGTCCACACGCTCGCGTCTCGCGTACTCCCACTCTACCTACCCTCTACCCCCACCCTCCTGCCCCAAGCACCTATGAAGGCCGGCAAGGCACGCAACTTTGGCCGGCACCACACACCGAACCAAATTTTTCTCTCCCGGGAGGCGATGTTTTTGCACACCGCGCCAGTGTACTCATTTGAGGCTGAGTCGACCTAGGGGAGGCCCAGAATCGTATTCGTATAACAGTCTCCGGTGTTGGCCGTGAACCAGAATCGAACTCGGGCGGTCAGGTTCGTAGCGCACCGCTCTCCCCACTAGATGATTGCACGCACGCACTCCTACACACGCACGCACTCCTACACACGCACGCGTACACACGCACGCTCGCAGTGTGCGATAATGCACGTGCTCCTAAACCCAACGTGAGTTGTTCAAAGCGAGACCCTTCCCGCGCAGGTCGCGCTGACACCTGCGGAGCACCGCTAATTGGATCGAAGGCATCAATGGGATTTTCTCCCCCCATACACTGCCACCCCCCCTCCCTTGAACCTTGCCTTGGCTGTGCCGCTCGGCGCGAAGAGGCAGCAGGCGTGGGACAGCGTCATCAGGCGCGCGGCTGATTGCAGCGGGCGGAAAACCTCGCTGGGTTTGCTTGAAGTTTGGCGAATGCGCGCGCGCTATTCCTCAGGACGGACGTTGAAGAATACGCGTTCGATGAAAAGAAAAAAAAAATCGACGCGCGTCCTCACGAGAGTTTGTCAAAAGGTAGCAGCATTGTGACCCATAATAGAGGGGTTTTTTTTGGGTTAGATCGCGTAAATATATAAATGTGTCGTTAAACCCGCCACCACCCGACACAGCCAACTAGTAAGGTTTGTCACGTAACAGAACGTGGCCAATTCGTCGCTAGTACAGCACGCCGGTGTGTTGGAGAGCCAAGCCACAATATTTACAATCTGAGTACGACGTTTCACCAGTAATTAAAACCAGCTTCATCAGAGGCGTAAGCAATGTGATGTCAGAGTGCCGAGCTGACAAAAGATGTCACGGTGTCGTAAAAAACCTCGGCGCTTGCAACCAGCCTGTGTCTACCAATCTTGCCAGATCAAATGCAAACACATCGCACGATTTCAAATTGCTAGCGCTTTCTACGCGGCGCATACACATGACATTAAAAACGGCCGCCATTGGCCACTGTGTGATGGTGATGTCACCGTGGGGCTTGCGCCAGGCTAGGTGCACCTTGAGGCTCTCGCGCAAAGTGTCGACGGCTCGCTGGAAGCAGGTCACGGGAGAGACCCAGGTATTAATTGTGAAACGAAACGGGGGACACACACAAGATGTCTCTATATTCATTAGATTCAGCACTCTGTCGCGTGGGACGTGTTTAGCAGTCATCAGGCGTGTGCAGTGTGCGAGAAGATTGTATTTGTATTGGCTCTCTAGAGGTGACCTCCAGGGGCCAAATTTAAAAGGCTACGATTTGAGACCTTTGAGCAAGAATGTAAAATCTCGGAGCTTGCTCCACGTGGGGACACGCAGGCACAGTTTTCACTAAAAACGCTCTTGGGCAACTCTTTCAAAGCGAATTCGCGTAAAATGCTGAAAGACTTGTTCCTAAATAGTGAATGTAACTTGCTTCACGATGTTACGAATGACCACCCTTCCACTCCTCCCACGGCTGCATTCACACCTCAACCAAACCCTCCAACGACCTCCACTGTGTGCACAAAACAATCGCCCCCCCCCCACCCGCCCAACCACACTGAGTTATAAATTAGCCAAAGCCCTTGACCGATTGAGCACACAAGTCACTCTGCGAGAACCGCTCACAGCCTGTTTAGGGTTTAACTCGGAGCCCCATTTAAATAAAGCGACCACAATCTGGAACGCGATGCTGAAAATAGGATCGTGAACTGCGTGATCTGCCAGTTCCCACCGCTGATCCGCAGAGGCACTTGCGGCCCGTGTCCCCTTCACCCCAAGTCCCCTTCTCCCCGTGTCTACATGCCCCCATGTCCGCGTGTCCCCATGTCCATGTGTCCCCATGTCCATGTGTCCCTGTCTCTGCGTGGCCCCGTGTCCCCGTCTCCCCGTGTCCCCATCTCCCCGTGTCCCCGTCTCCCCGTGTCCCCATGTCCCCATGTCCCCATGTCCCCATGTCCCCGTCTCCCCGTGTCCCCGTCTCCCCATGTCCCCGTCTCACCGTCTCACCGTGTCCGTGTGTCCCTATGGTTAGGGCAGATCCTTCAATTGTCTAGGTCTTCTTGCCTTTGGATCCAGGTCTTGTCCGCTGATTCAGAATGGTGTAGAAACTAGCTCGCAACAAGTGTCCTCACGTCAGTCTGATATTTGTTAACTCTCAAGAGGATTTGAGCTCAATTAAGCGTACATCCAAATTCAATGTGATGGGGTTTTTTTTTGTGAAGTCATCGACGACCATCGACTCGCTACAAGAGAGAACCCGCTTTAATCACAGGCAGTGGCTGAAACCTGGATTTGAACCCAGGATCTCAGCGGTGACCTCAGCACTCTGACCTCTGACCCACCCGGCCACGTCTTCTACGCAAAACAATCGACTCACCACCCCCGAATCGAATGGAGATGCAGTCATCTTCGTCACTCAACCCATGGCACTTCACTTGATGGCCTCAAAGTGCACCTAGCCTGGTACAAGCACCGTGGTGCTGTAACAGTCACTTGTAGCCAAATTGCGCCTGTTGATGATGCCGACTCTGCGTGTGGCAGTGGAGATGATGTGCAGTGGTTAGCGCTCTGTGCAGGGTGGGACCACGGCAGTGAGATGTTAACTTCTTGGTTCTTTCAGTAAAGTCACGTAGAAGGGAAGTAATAAAATAATAAAAATAAAACATAATAAAACAATTCTCACGACGTTTCGGCCACAACGCAAGCAGCCGTCCTTCTTCGCCTGAGGACGGCTGCTTGCGTTGTGGCCGAAACGTCGTGAGATTTGTTTTATTATGTTTTATTTTTATTATTTTATTACTTCCCTTCTACGTGACTTTACCGAAAGAACCAAAAAGATGAATCCCTGCAGTCACGAAAGCTTTAAATCGAAATTATTTTGCACCGTACGTAGCCACCCGTGCTATATATTTGGAGTTTGAGCGTTCTCTCCCGGTGGTCGCGTGGATTTTTCTCCGGGTCCTCCGGGTTTTCCCTCCACATTTAGAATCAACGTCACGCGCTTAGAGTAATTTGGCTGCTTTAAGTTTCAACACGATACGCCACTTTCATTGAGCTATCATCTGTGGCCCAGGTCGCTTCTGAAAGAGAGAGCTATAGACCTCAGCAGTGGGCCTTACCTGGTAAAATAAAAATAAAAATTTACAAGTAAGTAGGCTTTCGCGACCAATATCATCCATAATAGAGTTTTTTTTGGGCTAGATCGCATACCAACGCACTTATATTTATCCGATCTAACCCAAAAAAACCTATATTACGGAGAAAAAAAATCATTTAACAAAAATTTAAAAGAGTTTAATTTATAGTTTTTACTCCGTGAGCAGGTGAGTATCTGTCAGCTTGTTTCCGCTCTCTCTTCAAGAGTCGGTCTCTGCCTCACACGGCCTCTCGTTACGAGCCGGCTTGGATTATAGACTTATCCCAGGCCTTCCCGGATAAACACGTCATTATTATTACTACTACAACTACTGTCATATATAAAATCTCGCCGTAACTTTGACGACACCCAGAAACGTGTGTGTGTGAGCGGGCAGGGCGAGCCGTTGTGTAAAATGAAAAAGGGCCACCCTGCGTCGTGTTTAGTCGCAAATCACTTCTCTCTTGCGAGGCCAAAGGCATGCAGATGTCGTCAAATCTGCTTTGGGAGACTCTCAAGCTGGGATCAAGGAAGGGGGTGGGGGGGGGGCTGCCAAGAGCGGAGCTGTAATTGCTCCGCTGTTGGAAGCATGAAATGACTCGGACAAATTTGGCTCAAGTTTGATGGTGTGTTGCAAACTCTTAGGTTTTTTCGGTAAAGTCACGTAGGTAAAAAATGTAAATAAATTAACTCACGACGTTTCGGAAGCAACACAAGCCTCCACCATCAGGTGTAACTGCTCTAGTAAAATTGCTTGTGTTGCTTCCGAAAACGTCGTGAGTTAATTTATTTTTATTTTTTACCTACGTGACTTTACCGAAAAAACCAAAGAGTATGACTCCTTGCAGTCACGAAAACTTCAAATCCAGAAGGTGTGTTGCCTTCATTCTTGAAGATATAATTGAACACGAGGAGTGTTACACTCGTTCACGAATACCTGGAAACTCGAGTCATGTCTGGAGTCTGTGAAAGGGTCGGAATACGACAGTTGGACCATCGTGCGCAAATAGTTGACTGGACAAAACTAAAGCCCAAGACGCTCTGAACACGCGGGGGGGGGGGGGGGTTGGAGGGGGGGGACATCTCTCACGGAGCTCGTGCTGCGAAGTTAGCGAAGGTACTCGAGACGACGAATTCATTACCGTTCGTGAACGTGTCAGATTTACGAACATGTGCGTATCGCGTGCACATACGTGGACCGCGGGCACTTGATCGATCGTGGCGAACGCGCTCACGCAATCGGGCGTCCCGTCCCCGGCCCGCGTCACACCTCGCGCGCGTCCCGTCGCTCGCAGGTACAACGCGCTGGTGACGAGCAAGCGGGCGCGCGGCGTCATCGCTGTGTGCTGGCTGCTGTCCTTCGTCATCGGGCTCACTCCGCTGCTGGGCTGGAACAACTGGGACGAGTTGCACGAGTGCGGCAGCGACGGACAACCGCCGGACGCCACGAAGTGTCGTAACGGCACGCAGGTGCACTGCCTGTTTGAGAACGTGGTGAACACCGACTACATGGTGTACTTCAACTTCTTCGGCTGCGTGCTCGTTCCGCTGCTGGTGATGCTCGCCGTGTACGCGCGCATCTTCCTGGTGGCGCGGACGCAGCTGCAGCTCATCGAGGTGAGTGCGCGGCTTTATGTTTTTTTATACGCGAGAGAAAGGAAGAGATCCACCGCCGCGTCGGAGTTGGCGGTTTAGCGCACGGGGACTCGGGATCCGGAGGTCGCCGCTTCGATTCGATCTCCCGGCGCGGCAGTTTTAAGCCGATGGGGAGAAGGTCACGAGTCTCCCCCCCCCCCCAGCCACCAATGCCTCTGTCCGCCCAGTCAGTTTCACAATCAGAAACAGGATATTTATTCCACCATTGGAACCTCCTTTGCCAGTAGCAAAATATTATCATTGTTTTTTTACCCTTTTATCTGGCAACAAAACTGACACCTTTTTTTACAAGGAGTCATGTTTGCATTGACCACAATACCTGCGGTCGGAATGCAAACAAAAAACACAACTCTGATAAGATATTTATTTATACTGTTGGGAATCCGATGAGTTATAAAGCTCTTTTTGACAGATGTCCAGGAGTTATGTTTAAAAGGGGTTACACCACGGTTAGTAGATCGGCTAGTTTACGGGTGGCAGAGTAAAGTGTGGGTACCCTCACCTCTTCCAAGATGTCTGTCCCCGTGTGGAAGAGTAGGCCAAAGGCCCTCGAGTGGAAGCCCGTCCGCCGGCAATGGCATGAGCAAGCAGTTTCAGGGCTGAACCTTTACCTTTAACCGCAGTGACTGGTTCGCTGTAATGCTACGACGGTAGTGGCGATCATTAGTGACGATTGGAGTTTAGCGTGGAGAATGTTGGGATGGCGGTCATTTAATGCAATCATCGTGCTCGTTAACGACGAGTGATTTCAATCGTTAAAGAAAATAGGAAGATCGCGAGCATCGTTGTTGACGATTTGATGATGGCGGTGGCCAACGTTGACAATTTGTTGACGATGTCGTGATGGAAATTGAATACATTTGATGACAAGCGTGATTACGATTGCACAGATTTTGATGACACAATTAGCTGAATTTGATGATGATGATACTTTAAATTGATGTGATTATTAGGATGACAATCACCATAACAACAATAATAATAATACCTCTAAGGCCCCTTTGACATCTGAGACTCCAGCACGGCTGCAGCTGCTGTTATACGCCCCGACGTCTGATGACGTCCAGAAGCTGTAGGTGTCAATACAACCGAGAGAGTCTAAACAATGCAGGGAGAATTGCCTTTAAAGCCACCAATTGACAAAAACCAAGAATAAATACCAAATTAAGGAAAAGTATTTTTTTGTTGAAGCAACATATGTCAGATGTGATTTAAATACGAGGATGGTTTGGGCAGTGCGACGATCGATGATGATGACTGATGAGTCATGCCGACTACAACGAGATGAAAGGCGATTTACGTTGACGGCACGATTATCGGCGATGACGATGATCGATGATGATGATGACAACAACGGCGATTGTTTTCTTATCACGGTTGCTGAGCGCAGGGCCGAAGGCCCAAAGCGCCAAGCGGCCAGCAACAAGCAGCACTATTGAAGGTATAACGGATAAAGAGTTTAAATACATTGCTTTGAAGTGAAAAAGGTTCTACGAACCTGGGAAGAGACGATGGGGGGGCTGCGGGAATTCCAAACTCAAGCAGTCCGAGGTCAAGCGGCAGCAAGAGAAGCGGTGTGACCTGCGGTACGATCGGAATGATTATTGATCATTACGGCAACAATGATAATATCGATATTGGTGATTGTGAAAACACTGACGATAAATGATCACAAAGATCGACGACGATAATGGCGACGACCACGACGGTGACGGTAACAACATTAACGTTATAATAATTGGTTTTTTACCCTTCTATCTGCCAACAAAACTGACACCTTTTTTACAAGGAGTCATGTTTGCATAGACCACAATACCTGCAGTCATAATGCAAACAAAAAACATAACTCTGATAATGTATGCACTGTCCTTGAAGTTGATTGATCCACATCCGAAACTGCTTTCCTTAGAGCCCAGTCTCCTTTTGGCGTCATCTGGACTAACCCATGTGAGACTAGGTGTGGACCAATCAACTTCAAGGACAGTGCATACATTATCAGAGTTATGTTTTTTGTTTGCATTATGACTGCAGGTATTGTGGTCTATGCAAACATGACTCCTTGTAAAAAAAAGGTGTCAGTTTTGTTGCCAGATAGAAGGGTAAAAAACCAATTATCATATTTTTTACTGGCAAATGAGGTTCCAATGGTGTAAATAACATTAACGTTGATTATAGGTGAATGCCTTGTGATTCATAACTGGCTCATGGGTTAGGCCACCCCGCAACGATCCGGCCACATTTCTGTCGTTGGAAACACCGGCCGGGACCTGACGCAGCCAATCAAATTCCATCGTCGCGCGTCGCGCGAGCGTCACTAACGTTTCCGCTCGCTCAACATTGCCAAATGGGTCACAACCGGAAGCCGGTTGGCGTCTGCGGCAGCGTCCCGCGACACGAAACTTTTGGCCGGGGTCATTAAGCAGTGGCCCGACCCCAAAAACGCGTTACGAGCCGTTGACCGTGACGACGATTACGACAATGGCACTAACACCCACGACGGCCACGACGACGACGACACCGCGGCCGACCGACGGACGGCTGACGCCGCTTGTCATGCCGTTGTCGCATTGAGCAGAAGGCCGGCAGCAAGGCCCCAGGCGGCGACCGCCGGCGCAACCTCCTGCAGCGCGAGGTGCACGCGGCCAAGTCGCTCGCCTTCATCATGGGGATGTTCGCGCTCTGCTGGCTGCCGCTGCACGCGCTCAACTGCGTCCACCGCTTCTGCCCCGACTGCGTGCGCCCGCCCTGGGCCATGTACGGCGCCATCCTCCTGTCGCACGGCAACTCCGTCGTCAACCCCGTCATCTACGCCTTCCGCCTGCGCGAGTTCCGCGCCACCTTTCGCCGGATCCTGTCGCGCTGGGTGCTGCCGCCGGCACTCCCGTGCGGGCGGCGCCGGGGCGGGAGCCGCGCGCGGCGCCGCCCGTGCCGGAGCGATTGCGGCGGAGGAGGAGGAGGGGGAGATCCCCGCCTGACACGGAGCGCCGTCGGGCGCGTAGCCGCGGCGGCGCTCCGCGGCGACCTCGAGGACGGTGCCGCGGCATCATCGGCGGCGTCGTGCCGGGCGAGCGACACCTGCCTCTCGGCGCTGGGCAGCGCGCTCAACAGCGCCGGCACGAGCCCCTGCACGTCCGTCGTGTCGTACTCGGTGTCCTACGTGAAGAACGGCGGCGCCGGGATGCCCGCCGCCTGCGCCTCCGCCGTGACGCTGGCGCCCGACGACGACGCCGACGGCGCCGACGGTGCCGGCGGCAGCCTGTGCAGCGACGAGCAGGAGGTGTGTACGGTGACGGTGTCGGGACGCCCGCGGAACGGCGACTCGCTGAGCCCGCCCGGAAGGAGCCGGGGGGGCGGCGCCGAGACGGCGGCAAGTTTTGCGACGCCGCGGCAGAACGGATTTGTGGAGGAAGGGGAGCGCGGCTCCCAGCTGCCAAACTCGTGACCCGGGCAGGCACGCGCAATCATCGGCGCGCACGCGCGCACGCACGCACGCATGCACCGGCCAGCGAGGATTTGGTGTCGGGAACAAATGAAATTGATTACGAGAGTGAGAGGCCCGGTGTCGAAAGCCAGGGATTACTTTTCGCACCCAAATGTTGTTCTCCAGGTCGCTTCGGAGATTAGGACAGGCGGCCGGTGCGCAGCCGCGACAAGAGGTTTACCGGGCGTGGTGTGCCGGGGGCGGACGTGGGTTTTTCCAGGTCGTCGACCGAGACGGCCCCACGGCTGATATTACCAAGCCCCTTGGCAAAGGTCCAAGAGGCTATTGAACGCACGCACGAAGCAGGAATGAGTGAGCGGTGTTCGGAATATCGATGGACTCGGCGTTACGTTTTGTCGCGAGATGCGTTTTCGTACCGGAGGTCTCCGTCCCGGCGTGATTTTCGTCGGCGCATTCCCGATGCAAGTTTTAGATATTGAAAAGCTTTGAGAACACCTGAGGTCAACGTTTGGACTTCTAAGGAACTAGTGTTTTTTTAAATATATGTAGAGCTGATCACTTGCCATCTTGTGGGAGACACGAGAGGACCTGCGTTGTTTTCTGACCCCTACCCCTCCCCCCTCTCCATCACTGTGCAAGTCGAGACGAAGAACGCTGCGCACGTTCCGATCCGTCAAAGTCAAAGCCCAGTCCCACGGCTCGAAGGAGCGCTGAGCCGGTGCGCACCTCCCGTTTACAAGCCGCTGCTGGGAAATTACACATGATTATGGCGAGCCACTTTACGGGAAAACCACCGTTGACTTTCCCAAATCGCCGCAGTTATTTTACCGACCCCGCCACCCACACACCCCAGAGGGGATGAGCGGTTGAGTCAACCGCCACCCGGGATTTGAACTCCGCGACCTTCCGATTGCGAGCTGTTGGCTACTTCGCCAAGTCGGTAGCGGGCGAACGAAGCCTCTTGCGCATCTCGTTCACAAACCAGACCCTCCTTCGAAAGCGTGATGGCTCAGCGTTGTAAAAGTAAAAAAGAAACATTTGTTATCCATTACATTTCTAGATCCCGCTCACTCCGAGCGAGTGTTTTTGCGCCTGGCACCCGTCGACCTGAGCCGCGCTGAAAACGAACGGGGAGCTGAAACCGCCTCGACTCAGCCCAGTGGCTTCCCAAGTCGTCTGCCGAGGGTATAAACCGTGCTCGCCTCAACTTTGTTTATTATGTAGAACCATGCTTAGACATGATTCTACGTAAATTATCTCTTACCGTCAAGCGAGCCTTCATTCACACCGTGCGCGACTTATGTCATCACACAGCCGCATGTTGGAATGCTCACACGGGAGTGGGCTTCTGGTGCCGTTGGGCCTAAAGTGATGGCGTGAGCGCACTCCTCTAAGCTCTGTCAGCTTCAGCGGTCTCACAGAATTGTGCAGAATCATCGGCGTACAATTGCCACATGTCAAAGGAAACCTCGATTATTGTTTTGTTTACTTCTGCACAGGGTTTTCGTGGTTGGACCGTGTGTTGTTCGGCACGAAAGTCCGACGTTTCGCCCCGTGTGCTGGGAGCGGATTGCCGAATATCGCGCGGAACAACACGCTGTACAACCGAAAAAAGGAAAAAAATAATGCATCGCAGAACTGAACCTGATTGATTTGATTTACTATATTTTTTTACGGTGATCATCGTTTTCAAGACAAATATGCAAGCGTCAACTCCCCCTTCTTCACGTCATGCCTTGCGCCGCTACAAATTGTGTTTACAGGCTGCAGCGCCCCATGGTGAATCGTTACAAACCCGATGCCTTAACCGTTGCGATGCAGCGTGGAGTGCAAGGGAATGGTTGACGGTGCCACCCCCCCCCCCCCGTTGTCCCCCCGTTATTCTCCCATTGTCCCCCTGTTGTCCCTCTATTGTCCCCCACCCCCCCTGCATCGTCGTCCCTGTTGTCGCCCCATTGTCTCCCTGTCATCCCCCCGTTGTCCCCCATCCACACCTCCTGGGGTGGGTGGGGGGGGGGCAATAGACCTCCCCCCTCCCTTAGCCCATGGACCTGAACAGAATTGGTTCCCACTGAAGATGGCAAATATTCAACCGTACCAGTTTCCTCTACGTGGCGAATCAAAGCGGATTATGTGATAATGTGCTCGGTAAATAACAACGCCTGTGATAATATCGAATTGTGTATTGGCGTACAATTAGCGTCCAATCTGGGACCCCGTGTCGTGACACAGAGGGCTCCGTGCCGAAACGATCGGCAGTTTCGCCAGCATTGGATACAAGGAGGCCTGACTCCGCTGACGAGGCGCCGTTTGTCGAAACCGGTCCAGACTTTGGGGCCGTCCATAAATGACGTCACGCACCTGGGGGGGGGGGTGGGGTCAGACATTTGTGACGATGTGTGACGAGGGGGGGGGGGGGCGTTTGAGAAATGTGACGTCACATCAAAATGCGCAACTTTAAATAAATATAGACAACACGTTCTACTTAATTAAATAGGCTGTTTAATGAATGTTTTCTCCTACAACATCAGAGTGCAGCGCCACATTAAATATGCACTACAATGACATGCTTTATTTTTTTGGGGGGGCAGAGCTTTGTGACGTCAGATTTTAGGGGGGGTCTGACTTTTTGTGACGCCGTGTGACGAGGGGGGGGGGGGGGGGTCAAAAATCGTCCAAAATCGCGTGACGTCATTTATGAACGGCCCCTTTTCTTGCCAGTGCTGCTGAAATCACGCGCTCAAAGGAGGCCGTGGCGGCTGATGGGTTGTGTAGGAGAAGTTTCTTTTTGTTGTTGTTTTACTCGGAGAGACGGGTACAGTGTATGGAGGAGACGTATTTTGTTGTTGTTGCTTATTTATATTGACACGAGGTTTCGTTGCATTAATCGCCCCTTATTGGCAATGTATAGATGTTGGTGCCACTCATGGTTTGTCATCTCAGGTGGTAGCCAACGAGCAACGAGGTTGGTCAGCTCCAGGGACTCCCTTCGTCACTTGCCATGGCTCGAACACCCGGCCACCTTCTTTTGAAAAAGTACTCAACGCTCATTTACCGTTGGGAACCAAACCACAGCGTCCCATTAAACACGGTGGGCCACCTTTGGCAATTCGGTGGCAGCCCCAACAGTCTGGAACGATATCCCTCTGCACATTCGCAGCATCACCTCAATCGCCTCCTTCAAGAGACACTTAAAAATTCACCTCTACAATCATGCTTCCGAGCGACTCTGAGCTTGGCTCCGCGCCTCTGAGTTGCGGCCACTATGTCTGCAAATTTGCGCGCGTTACAAATTGTACTATTATTATTATTATTAACATTGGACGAACGTTGGGGGCAACGTTCCACATTTACTGGTATCCTGCCAATGGCCGATTACACACACTTATTATTATTATTTTGATTGCTATTTGTTAGATCTTATTGTAATTTTAATCATATTTATTATTACTACTACTTTAGTTAAACTTATTTAACACATTTTATACTGATAAAAAAAACTCATGGCGAACAGAAAACAATCAGTTGTATTTGTCTGCATGTAAATAATATCAAATGTGTTTTGTGTAATAGTGTGGGCATGACACCGATAGCCAGGGAACGGCTGTTTTTTGTTTCTTTCTTTTTGTACGCCCCACGTAGCACCTTGATGACAATGGAACGTTACCGAACAAACCATTCCGCTCGTCTTCTCGCGGACGTTAAAGACGTCCACTTAGTTACATGACACAGTGATTGATTCGACCTCTGCCCCCCCACCCCCACGATTGCTATGTGCGCTCAGGTTCACACAGGGATGCTACCCCCACACAGCCCGCTCTCTTCTACGCTCTGCTGAGAGAGAGGTCACTGTTACCGGCGACGCGGCAGACGCGTTCAATTGGGGGTCACGGGTTGCATTAATAGCGACGTAGTCCACAAGCCAGAGCGGATACCGGAAACCACCTAATAAGGAAACGCAACCTGAGTCGCACCGATAAACGAGTGAATTTCGAGATAACAAACGGTTGTCGCGAAAAATCACTGTGAGTGGCCACGAAAGAAAATTGGAAACCACGACAGTTGTGCCAGCTGCCGTGGTGCCGCCAATTGAAACATTTGGGTCCGGGCACGTGGTCTAAGCAGAACGGAGCGAGGAGGCTCAACCCTTCTGAAGGTGGTGGAGGTCACCTCCCGTCCACATAGCAGCAGCCGCGAGATCTGGCGGAGGGTGAAAAGCGATGGCAGTGAGGTGGCGGCAGTGGTGGCGTGATCAACGGCTTTGGCCACGGTGACCTCTAGACCTTGAAACTTCTGCGGTGTGGTATCCTCTGCACGAGCTTCAGCCGTGCGCGCGTGCGTGCGAGTGTTTATGTGTTGATGCTCGTGCCCGATCCCATGCTTGTTTTGTATTTACACAGTTGGTAAGGTAACCGGTGGCAAAAACACGGCGGCAAATTCCCCACAGTCCAAGGGACTTGCGAATCAGTCTGCGGCTGGACTGGGTGTGTCGGTAGAGGTGGTGAGTAGAGGTTGGTTGCCAAGATAGATTTTTTTCACGATACGACAGGAATTGTCGCCACGTGACGATTGATCCCGACGCCAGTTTCCCGTGTAACTGTATTTCGCATTTTATTTCCAATTTTTACGGAGCGTTGCTGTGTTTTTCGAGTAGAAATGACGTTTGCGTGACTTTGTAAGTTCTTCATTTGCAGTTCACTCATCGTTATTCGGCCGCAAAAGTGTTTACAGTCATTGCAACGTTACACTCTGTAATGCTTATAAAGCACATCGGCTGTCGGTGGCATTCACGATATTTCAAGCAAGTAAACGATGAAAATGTAAAATTATGACTTCTGATAACCGCCATGCCGTCAAGCTAATCATCGGAAAAACATTTTGCAAGCGATAATTTACACGGATAACAGCTATTTAATTACACCCGTAGTTGGTGAGCTTGTTGCTTCGTCAACAATTCGTCAGGAAATGTAATATTCCAGACAATACAAAATGAGTCGGGAGATGACGATATTCTGCACAACTGACGGGGTGCCATTATCGTCCATCGAATGCCGCGAGAGATATCGGTGCGTCGGCATGGCACGGCAACCCTCGCGATGAGTACCGGAATGAGGCATTGTGGGATGTGACAAGAGGGTCGTGACTTCATTCTTGATGTGACTGCAGGAATCCATACTCTTTGGTTCTTTCGGTAAAGTCACGTAGGTATAAAAAAAAACCTACGCGAAAGCTTCAAATCATCTTTGGCGTCATACATGAGGCTTGTGTCTTTTGAACAAACTGAAATTCAAATTTTTTTTTACAGCGGGAACATGATTTTCTTTAGCATTGAAAAAGGGCGCCACGGTCAACCACCTCGCCTGGTATACAGGAGGCCGTGGGTTCGTTCCCGACCCTGACGCCTGCTGCTGTATATTTGGGGTTTGCGTGTCTCTCTCCCCGCGGTCGCGTGGATTTTTCTCCGAGTTCTCTGGATTTCCCCTCCCCATCTAGAATCAACATCACCACGCGTTTAGAGCATCTGGCCGCTATAAACTTCCACGCGGTGATAAGCCACTTGGCCGAGCTATCATTGGTGGCTCAGGTCGCTTCTAGAAAAGAGCTACATAGCTCAGTGGGCCTGACCTGGTAAAATACAAAAAACATAATTAGTATCATAGTTTTCGTTTCATGTAGATGCCGTGCTTAGCCACGAACGCCACGCGCTGTTGTGAGGAAATCGCGCTTAAGATGACTCAGAAAAGCGTGACATACACTGCAACTACGAAAGTCTTTAGAAGCAAGGGCTTTTGGTCAGCACTTTAGATAGACACGCAGAGACAATGATTCCCCTATACAGCCTCTTAACGGAGTGTCGGGGCAAGTGCTGTTCGCAAAAACCTAGGGCATACGAGGAGGAGGTGGGTGGCCAGCACCACGCCCGACACTAATGTTTACACACGGCACTCGGTACTCAATTAAGGTTGAGCCCACCTAGAGGAGGCCTATGACAGGTTCAGAATCCCATTCAGTACACATCCATGAACAAAGAGAGATACACCAGCAAGGTATGAGCGAGTTCGTTAAAAAGCACGCGCAGCGAGTGGCCATCAAAGACGAAGATCCCCTGTATAGCCTTAACAGATTATTGGGGCAAGTGCTGTTAGCGAGCACTTATGAAGAACGGCACGGCACGCGAGGGGGTGGGGTGGCCAACACCACGCCCGGTCGCCTTTGTCTCCCAAGTGGCGATGTTTACGCAAAGTACTCAGTTGAGGCTGAGTCAATCTAGGGGAGGCCCAGGACTGTTTCAGATAATTACCACTGGTGCTGGCTGTGAGCGGGAATCGGACTCTGGTCGCCGGGTTCAGTAGCGTAGCTCGCAATCCGCTACACGACCGTTCCCCACGTAAAACAACAACAACAACCGCCATTCGCCACTAAGTGACGGTGACGTCACCACGACGCTTGTGCCAGGCCATGTGCACCTTGAGGCCACGTGAAGTGTCGAACGCCCGCTGGCAGGAGGTCACGGGGCAGACCCAGGTGCCACGGGTCGACTGACTGAGATGGCTGGCTGATGCACCACCTGTGCCCCCTACTGTGCCAACTTGCTGTGCTTAAGCCACCCGGCGCTCCGCTCGTTGTTGTGAGCGTCGCTCCTCCGCCCTCCGTTGTTGTTGGAGGGCGACTGCACCCAACTGCCCAGTAGCGTCCTTCACGAGCCTCTGGAGGAGGCTCGTGAAGGACACACACACACCAGCAAAAGTCTGAGTGAGTTGATTTAAAACGTACGCACAGTGGTTAGCGCGCACACACAAACTCCAGCGTAGTGTCTACAATCTCTTGCCTGCTGTCAGTTCAAGTTCAAGTGCATTTATTAGGTATAGCCCTGTGAGCCATTCGGCTCTTGAATCGGGTGCAACCGCAACAAACAAAAAACTAAAACATGAGCAAGAAAACATCTTAAAGTGAATATGTGACTAAGTGCAAACAGAAAATCCAAGAAAAGACAGCAAAATATTGCAGAAAAACACCGTACACCAACGCTGTGTGCAAAAATCTCAGTGGGATGCAAGTCAAACAACAACAACAACCACAAGACAACTTAGATTAAGGTTTTAAATTCTCAGCTTCAGTGGCTGCGTCTTAGCTCGGTAAAGGTGAAGGTTTGGGGGGTTGGGGGGTGTAAAGGGAACCTCCTCGCACTAATTTATTATTGCCAAGTGCTCTTAGTGCCGGAATGTTTACCCCCTGTCACTCAGGATTTCTCAGATCTTAGCCCTCAAGGACCATCACCAACAACCACCACGCTCCCTTTTTTCCGCGTTTACCAATTTACTACCCCCCCCCCACCTCCATTCAAATACAAATGAACTCGTTCCAA